AACCCATGACTAGACAGGTCACTGGCCATAGGGGAGAGCTTGCTATTATTATTCTGCTAAATAGATACAGTATTAAAATGATTCATAATGAATTAATCTTATACTCAGAGATTAATGCACCTCTCTACTCTCACCAAAGAAGTCCTTATGCAGCAGTTGGAAATTACCAATGAGATTCACAACTGGCCAATGTGTAGAGAACAAGAGATTGCAGAGTGATTATCCCCGAATAGGACACCTATATCAAACTCTGCCTCCCAATGCTCAGGGATCATTGAGGAAGGGGGAGTGAAAAGATTGTAGGAACCATAGGTGGTGGATGTCCACAAGGAAATGGAGTTTTTGACAGCTGGGAGGATATTCCTATGAACTCACAGCAATGGTGACAGCATGTTACAAGAGCTACATTAACTCAAACCAGAAAAAAAAATTCCAGCATAGACTTGGGAAGGGGATAAGAAGGCCGAACTCTAGCGGAGGAACTATTGGTAACAATAGCTACTGGAGGAGGGAAAGACAATCTTCTTTAAGGTTAACTAGGTGACAATCTTCTTTTAAGGTTCACTAGGTACCAGTGAATGGACCTACACAGGAGGGCATTTGGAGACACACATTTGACTCCATACACCTTAATATACGTATAACAGAATACATTAAATGGAGGTGCTGGCTATAAGAGGGGTACAGGTAAGGGAAATGTCTAAATACCACCAAAATGTATTGCATGAAGTTCACAAAAATTAAATAAAAAAATAGTAAAAGAAAGGTACTAGTTGATATATCAGTCAGGAGATTTGAAAAGAGGCTTAAACTAATATACATATATATATATGACAATTCTGGGAATTTCTTTAAGAAAATTATTCAAAGAGTCTACCTCTGCCTCTGGGGTGTGGGGATTAAAAAGTTCTGCTAACTCTTAAAAACTCTCCAAATTGGAATATTTTTATTCTAATTTTAAGAAAATATGAATCATTTTGTACATACTCCAGGTCTCTGGGGACTTGCTCACATGAACTTACAGCAATGGTGACAGTATACACAAGACCCGTGCAAACTCAATCAGCATAGTACTGAGAAAATGGCCCCAGTGTTAGCCAAAGAACTACTAGAGGCTGACTACTGCTGGGTGAGAGAGAGATGATGCTCTTTAAGAGAGAGACACTAGATAGGCTGACTAGACCCCAGTGGATGAACCTGTACTGAGCGACATGTGGGTACAGAAACTTGACACGATAGACCTTAACACATATGACAGACTGCATGAAAGCCAGTGGGAAGGGACTATAAGGAGGGACAGATGGTGAAGGGTGTATAAAGATTATTAAGATGATTTCTGTGAAGTATACAAAAATTCAATAAAAATAGACATAAATAAGAAAATAAGAATCATCAAAATATGCCTTAATGTCATGAAAACTTTGTAATTGGTAGATAAACATAAATCCATAAAAACAATTTCTTACATTGCTATTATGAAAAGAGCATCTAAATAAGAACATAAATATGAACTATATAGCTGAATAAGGATTTAAAAATACTTAAATTATTCATACGTTATACTAAATACCTGAATAATTTGAAAGCCTTTGAGGCTTGGATATTTTTCATAGCCAACTTTTAATTTACATTACATTGTACAAACTGGTAAATGCTTTTGAAAGTAAGCAAGACAAACATAAAAAATAAGTTTGTAATTGTATCTTAGGATCTTTTAGGCATTTACTTGAACTTCTTTCTATTGATGTGCCCTCTGAAATAACACAGGCTCCTAATGAGCATCCCCAGTGAGGCCTTTTTTCTGGTAACAAAGAATACTGTTTCTGTAAATGAAAGTTTATAGAAACAGAAGAAAGCTATGAAAGAACATCATTGACCCATGTCAGATGTCAGCCTGCTAGACGCACTGGCTGAAATGACTGGTGTGCATAACATACTTATTTCTATACATAGTCAATTACATATGTGATCTATTGGAAAATATGGACACTATGAATATACTTTTTTGAAAACAAAATCCCAGAAATAGGAAAAAAGAATTTCACCTATTTATTTCTTTGTAACAAAATGTAACACAATACAGCAACAGAGCAATTTAAATGTAGAAAATGACACAATCTATAACAGCCACACTACAAAAGCAAAGCTAAAAAATACAAGGTTGATGAGAATTTAATGAAACTACTAGATAGCTTGAAATATTAGTCAAATATGTTGCCATTTTGAGAATCAATATGGAATCAAAGGGATAGTGGTTTTATCATAAATGTTTCTGCTACACAAATCGATACTTTGAGCCTCTAGAGAAATAAAAGAATATTCCATGGTGAAGTGCTGTGATGAAGGAGGGAATTTTGATGAAGAAAAAACAATGAGTTTATAAAGATCCTTGTCAGTAGTAATGAGAAATTTTGGTGGGTTGGATTTTTATATAAAATGTTTTGTAGAAGGCAGGAATGTAGCACAGTCAGAGATTTCTTCATAGTTTATATAAGATCCTGAGATGATTCTCAGCACTGCAAATAAAATACAATAAAATAAAACTTTGCAAATGTGATTAGAAAAGTCATTCTAGATTAAAACTTTACCTTCAAATCATACTTTGATAACTCTGATATGTAACTGTCTTGCAGTGTCCAGTCTCCTCTGATCTCTGCTGTTGAGTCACACTTATCCCACACCAATACACAGTGAGACTGCACATGCCACCATCACTGCTAAGCCATTAGAATCTTATGCAGATAATTGTTCACACTCTGGTCTCACCCCTTTGGCCTTCCTGTTTTATTATTTCAGTTTCTCTCCTCACTGATTCTAGTCTTCAGATGCCATAGCCATTGATCTGCCCTACTCTTTCTGACTGTGGGTATCAGGTAATCATCTCCAGTATCTACCCCCTCCTCCTGCAGACCACCACTGTGTCAGAACTTTTCCTGTCTTCTGCTTGATTTTTCTGTACTCAACACAGATTAGACAAGCTAGCTTAAATACAAAAACTAAAGAGGGCCAGTGGATGATTATGCCCCTCTTCCTGATTCAGTAATAATTAATGGTTCCTGATCAATGAGATAAATTCAGAAAATATAGCAGTCTGTATATTTGCAGTTTTAAAACTGTCCAAATGTGTGTGTGCATGTGTATGTGTGTGTGATATGTCTCTGTATCTGTGTAAATGAGATTTTTTTTTCTTTCTTTAAAATTTAAAATGGAATTAAATAAAATGTAATAATTTACATTCATTTATAATAAATTACATGATTTTAAGTTTTGATCAACTTTGTCTATATAAAGACATTTCTAGAAGCTCAAATGTTTGGGAAATTCATTTTCAAATGCATCAAAAGCCATTAGAAGGCTGTAATCCAGAGCTCTTGGGAATATCCAGATGCTTTCAAGGAAAGATGACATTAAGATTTATAAGATAACTCTTCCACAGATATAAAGGTTCAGGCCCCAAATCTAGGAAGGTTTCTGGATTCCTAAATTTGGTAGATCTATTTTTAAAGCTTATCATTTGAGCAAACACAAGGCTATAGTGTTCAGAGATGAGGATGGAAATGAGGCAAGCCTTCAAATTGAAAATAATATTTTAAAATGATAAGCAGGCCAGGGAAAAGGAGATCTGGCAAGGAAGGCCTAAGGCACAAAGAGATGGGCACCCTAGGACTGAGAATGAAATTCAGTAATATTGGGGGTTTGGAAGGAAGACCCTATGAAATACCCTGACATAGGATGGCACAGTGAAAAAACTTTTAGTAGAGAAGTTTGGCCATGTTTTGAGTCAGAAAAGGGTGGTTGAGTCTTGCATCAGTTTAAATATGTCCTACCCCAGACTTAATTTTTTCACTATGGAATCCAAGTAAAATTTGATACCCAACCCTGCGTGTGAGTAATCCCAGTGGTAGTGACATACTGTTTCCTACTATCCGTGCTTTGCTTTGCATTTAGAAAGTTTCCTTTTATTAAACCAAAGTGGGCCTTCTATAAGTTTTACCAACTACCTTCGTTTTTAGTGTTACATACAACTGTAATACAAATATATTTTTTCAAAGTTCAGTAGGGCCCGAAGACTCAAGTAGAGAGATTTTCTGGATGAATTTCAGTAGCCAAGGGAGTAGAAATGAATTATTCACTGGAACTGAAGACACAGTGCTCTTCACATAACTATTTTATTCTACCTTCAAAGTTTTTGAGCATTCTAAACTTTTGTTAGCAATATAAAAAGGCTATTATTATGATTATTATTTTCATTTCCAAGGTTTTAATGGAAACACCAATAAGGAGAGACAGGCAGTTGGACAGATGGTTGTTGGGTATGGGTCTTTCTCCATGATCTTAAACTATAGCCAGGATTACAACAAGAAAGAACTAAAGGTTGTTGCCCACACATAATTTGAGGTAAGAATGCAAAATAAAGGGAAATACAATGATTCCTTAGGGAAGTGAAATGTATTTTGCTATGTCTCTATTCTATTTTCCATATGATGTCTTTAACATTTTGGAATAGGAAGCTCATAACAGAGAGGAACATAATTCACAGTGTTAGGAATAGTATGGTTCCCTAGAAAAGCAAAGATATGTCTCAGGTTCAGGGGCATCAATTGGTGTTCGTTTGTTATGATTTTATTAAAATTCTTAAAAAGAACAATAAGAAGTATATATGTAAATAATCAAGAGACCAAAATCAAAATTAACCCAATTAGGTGTAAAAGAACTTTTATTCAGATACAAGCAACAGTTACTTATTAGCAGATACCATCCTTTCTTTAGAAATATGGGATTAGGGAAAATTGAAAAGAGGATGAGCAAAAACAGTAAGACAAAGAGAGCTGTGTTCTATCTGGGTGCGGGGATACATCTGTTTTATCAGACTATGCTTCCGAGAATGATCTTCACCAACAAATACTAGGGATTTCTCTTGATGTAGCTCCTGAAAATTGGTTTAGGAACTTGAGGTAGAGTGAGATCAGACTTTGGTCCCACTCTATTTCCTAGGCTCCTCATAAATGGCTCTGATACAATAAATTGTGGTAATCATTTCTTTCAATGAGCAGTGGTTGCCTTTCCTCCTGGAATCGGGTTTTCTTGAGAAGACACAGCCGACAGCTGAGCCCTGCCAGAGAAGCAGCTAGGAGAGCCCCCAACAGTGCTGCCCCAAGAAGCCATGGCCAGATCCTAGTGGCTTGTTCCAAATAGGGCTCAACATAGTTTTGAAAAAAGTCTGAATCTGCAATACAAAGACATATCAATGTTTTCAGTGTTATCATCATCATCAACATCATCATCACCATCACCATTAACAGTATCATCACCATCATTATTACCAGTAGCACCAGCAGTAGCCATCTCGTAGGGTATTTTGCAGTCAAGTACTTGGGTTTGAAATGCCAACCTGTCTGTTTATTAGGTGGAAGGGCTTGGGGAAGTTAACCTACTCTTGCTCCTCATTAGGAAAAGGGGAAAATGATATTCTGTGGTTGGGGTCTTTAGAAACTTATCAATAACCCTTGTTATGTGTTTGCATTGCATTGTTAATTTATATTTACAGCATCTTTTTGAAATTTTTTAACAGTATGGATGATCTATGAGACACTGCTGTATTATTAAATGTTGAATTATCTATTTGACATTTTTAAATTATTAGACCAACACCGAATATAATGCTGGTAAAAATCATAGCAATTGAAGAACATTTTCAAGAATTCTAGGAAATTTATAAAATCTTTGTATTTATAGAGATCACAGCTTCTAATCTCTGTTTTTGGTTATAATATTATTTCTTTATTGAATTTTTATGTATTTCATACAATGCATTGTAATCATATTTGGACCCCCTTCCCCTATCTGTAACTCCTTCATAACTCCCCAATTCCAGATTCCATGCATTTTATCACATATGTTAAGGCCTACAGAGTCAAGTTTGTGTCCCCAGATGTCCCTCAGTGTGATACCATCCACTGGAAACTGGTCAACCTATCTAGTGTCTCTCTCCCTTAAAAAAATTAACTCTTCCTCCCTGAGCAGTAATCAGCTGCCAAAAGTTCCTCAGTTAAAGTTAGGATTTCTTATCCATTTGCCCTCTTCTATGCTCTGTTTTTGTCTGGTTTGAGTTTGCATGAATCTTATGCATGGTGTCACCACTGCTGTAAGTTCATATGACCAAGTTTGCAGCTCTGGAAAACTCTGTTTCCTTGGTGTCATCCACCACTCTTGTTTCTTTCAGTCCTTCTGCCTCTTTTCCACCAAGGTCCCTAAGTCCTGGGTGGCAGAGGTTTACAAAAGAAGTCCTATCCAGGGACATACACTTTATAGTCTCTGATTCTCTACATTTGGCCAATTGCATGTGTGTGTATGCACATGTATATATGGCCATATGCATGCAGGTGCCCATGGAGGCCAGAATCTTGGGTTGGATCCCCTGGAGCTGGAATGACAGCCAGTTATGAGTTGTCAATGTGGGTGGTGGGAACTGAACTCCAGTTCTCTGCAAGAACAGCAAATACTCTTAACCACTGAGTCACCTGTCTAGTCCCACAGCTTAATTTTAAAACAGAAGGTTTTAACCAAATTTTTGAAATAATTCTGAAGACAGAATGTTCACTAACATTCTGATAATCTACATTATGTCAAAGACATCAGAAAAGCCACAGGATTGGGAGTGCAACAATTCTGACAACTTCTGTCCATAAATATCTTTCTACCTCTGAAAGCACCTTATTCAGATAATCTAAAATACACAATTCAAAAATTATATACTTACTGATTCTCTTATGCTGTTCTTGAATTGTTTCCTGAAGTCAAGTTGGATACCTAAAGCTATCAGTTTCTTTTTATAAAACATTTTATTATTTTTTATTTTATGTACATGAGTATATGGCCTTCATGTATATAAGTACATCCACATTGTGCAATGCCCTTATAGGTCAGAAGACAGTGTCAGATCCACTGGAACTGGAGTTACAGAAATTTGTTAGCCACCATGACGGTGCTGGGATTCAAACCCAGCCAGTGCTCTTAACCACTAAGCTTTCTCTCCAGCCACCCCCACTGGTATCTTATAAGCAATTTTGTATTCAGTTCAACAAGTTTTATACATCTGAAATATTATAGGTGTGGTATTTCTATTTTTACATCCATGACATTTTATTAGAGTTACTGTTTACATGTATGCCTTCTATATTATAATGACTCTTTGATGACCAAATTATGCTGTAATCATTGGTATAATCTTGCAATTTGGCAGAATGCCTGAAATACATGTCAGGGAATTCAGTGTTTCTAAATGACTGAGTGAATGATTACGGTTAGGACAGGTAGTGAAGGCTAAAAGCTGAAGAGGTGGAGGGGAGGGCTACACACAGGATATTGACTAAGGGAAAACAAGCTATAAATTAGCTGTGGTTTGCCACATGTGGGGATAATATTTATGGTTGATTTTTAAAATTCTAGTATTAGTAAAAATAAGAATGATAAATTTCATCAAAAATGGAGCATTGACTCTAAGACAGAAGTACAATAAGAAAATACATAATTGTAGCATATGTTTAGTGCAGCTGTGGATAGTATTTAAATAGAAAAATTATGAAAATCCTAGATATGCATATGTCTTCAGAGACAGTACTGTGTTATGGTAATAGAAGAAATAAATAGATTTGTAAGAAAGCTAAACTCTCTACTTACATATGAAGAATCCAGAGATAAACTTGATGAATTAAGAGACACTTCTCATTGCTTGATTTAGAGACATGGAAGTAAATTTCATCATAAGCAGCTGAAAAATCTATAGTAGCTGACTTGGGGCATAAGACTGAGAACAGTAGGTCTAGAAAACAGCACCTTCTGTTTTAACATTTGGTAAACTGACTTCTAAAATTGCATGTGTTTGTTATATGTTAAAATGAAAGTACATCATATGCTTGATGATATTCTTATATGTACAAGTGAAAAACACAGGGGAAAGCAAAATGGAGACTGAATAAGTCCAATTAGTCATTTTCCAATATCCAAAAGGGTTATAATGTTTATTTACTCTCCAAAAAGTAAAAAAAAGCTCGTGAAGTGATCAGTAGATATGTACCATAATATATTTGAAACACATATTAGCAGAAAATATGATTCAGTGGTAGTATATATTGTTAGGAAGGTAACATATATTAGATAATATAAATTAAGTGTCCTCAAATATAAAATTTAGCTTAACATAAATACAATGTAAAACAAATAATAGCCTCACTATCAGTTTTATACTTAAAGCCTGTAAGAGTTGGGGGAATTATGCATAATTAAAAATGAAAATAAATCTTAAAACTAATTAAAAATATTTTATGGCATATGTGTTTTGCTTGCTTTTATGTAAGTGCACACATGCTGTGTGATATATAGGGATACCAGAAGAATGAGTTGGATGCCCTGGCACTGGAGTTATGGATAATTGTTATCCATCATGTGGGTCCTGGAAACCAAAGTCTGCACTGTGCATGAACAGGATACCCTTTTAACTGCTGAGCCATTTCTCCAGAACCACACAATATTTTTTTTTACTTAGTATTGGCTCAATAAGAGTAGGTAAATTGTTGGGGTTGGAGAGATCGTTCAGTGGTTAAGAGCACTGGTTGCTCTTCCAGAGTACCCAGGTTTGACTCCCAGCACCCATACCACACATGCAACCATCTGTAACTCCAGTTCCTGGGGAATCTGTTACCCTCTTCTCTCCTCCATGAGCACTGTATGACATGGGTACAGTTACATACATGCAGGCAATACACTTATACACAAAATTAATAATAATAATAATAATAATAATAATAATAATAATACAAAAGATCATCCACAACAATCAAGTCGACTTCATTCCAGAGATACAGGGATGGTTCACTATACATAAGTCAATAAATGTAATAAAACATATAAATAGACTTAAAGACAAAATCACATGGCCATCTTAATAGATGCAGAAAAGGCCTTTGCATTCATGTTAGAAGTCCAAGAAGTAATTAATTTGTCTGAGTCTGAAGGGAACATAACATGACATAATTAAACTATATACAACAAACACATAGCAAATATCATTGTAAAAGGGGAAAAACTGGAATCATGCTCATTAAAATCAGGAACCAGACAGGGCTGTCCACTATCTTCACTTCTTTCAATATAGTGCTTGAAACTCTTACAAAAGCAATAAGACAAAAGAAGGAAATTATGAGTACTAATTGAAAAGATGTCAAATTATCACTATTGCAAACAATATGATAGTATATATGAGATCCCAAAAATTTCACCAGAAAAGTGTGAGAAATGATTACTGTTTTCAGTAAAGTGTCAGGTTACAAAATCAACTTACAAAATTCATTAGTCTTTCTACATACCAATAACAAGCAATCAGAAAAAAAAGCACTCAAGGAAACTCCCCCATTCATAATAACCTCAAAAAGTATTCAGGAATTAACCTAACTGAAGATATTAAAGATCTCTACAATGAAAAATTTAAATCTTTAAAGAGATAGAGAAAGACACTAGGAAATGTAAAGACCTACATACTCATGGCTTGATAGAATTAATATTGTGAAAATGATTATTTTACAAAAAGCAATCTATAGTTTGAATGCACTGCCAATCAAAATACCCATGATATTCTTCACAGAGCTACAAAAAATTATCCCAAGATTCCTATGGAATCACAAAGGACCCCAGATAGCCAAAGCACTCTTGAACAAAAAGAACAATGGTGGGGTATACCAATACCAGATCTCAGATTATATTAGAGATATATAGCATAAAAACAGCATGGTACTGGCACAAGAACAGATACATAGATCAATGGCACACAATAGAAGACCCAATCATGAGTACATTCAATTTCAGCCACTTTCTATTTGACAAGTTGCCAAGAACACACAATAGAGGAAAGACAGTATATTCAACAAATGGTGCTGGCAAAACTGGATCTCCACGTGTAGATGAATGAAGTTGAACCCTGATCTTTCATCTGTACACAAGTCAACACCAAATGGATCAAATATCTCAATATAAAATCTGAATCGTGAAAAGACAAAGTATATGTGGAGGTAAAGGAAAAGAAAGAACCTGAAAGGGGGACAGTAGGGAACAGATACTCCCTGCCTAATACTTCTCCTACCAGGGAGGAGGTGGGGAAAGTGGGAGTGGAGTATCAGACAGGGAAGAGAGGAGGGAAGGACTTGCAAGGGACTAAAGTGTGGGGGAGGGAGG